CATTCAAAGGTGAACTAAATAGAGAGACTAAAATGACTATCTTAAATGATGTTATCTGTCTTTTAGCCACAATGAGTCTATCCCTAAAGGATAAAAGTAAACCTTTGTTTTAGTTCAAACAAGGATTAATTTAGGAAAATCATATGGCTTGAATTGCACACAAGATCAGGCAGATCAACGAGAGAATCAATATGCTTGATTAGGATCATCACTAAAAAAGGGAGGCATCATATATCAATTGCACAAATGATGCAGAACATGAAGGAAAAGTAGGATTACATGAAGTCATCTGTGTTAAGTTTAATATTTGGGGTCAGTAAAGCTACAACAAACAGGAAGACAAGCCTCTCAAATTGCTTATTTTAGAACAAATAAGTTTTACGGTCATAAAACATCTTGTGCATAACAACAAATGAGAAACAGAAACAGCAAGTGGAAGACAGCCTTTTTTAATTTTTGCTTTGACAGACAGTGAAAATAATAAATCTTTAGAAAAGATCTGAAAGCATGATCTCAGAATAACCAATAGGAAGAACAAGCAATTGAATGAGTAAGTCAAATATTTTCCACAGATCACACAGTCAGAAGGCAATAATCCTGCTTTATTAATCATAGTTGCTTCTGTCTTCTTTTTAGTAATTCTTGGCATTTGCTTCCCCAAGAAGTTTCTAGAATCAGTTTGCTACAGGAACATCCAGAAAAGTCATCATTTTAGGCCTCACTTTTTAAGCTTCAAATATTTTATTTCTGGTGACTGCTCTTTTGAAGGCAGTCATTATATCTTTGTTCCTCAAAGGATAAAGGAAAGGGTTGAACAGTGGTGTTACAAGGGTGTTCAAAGGGTCACCACTTTGTTCATATTTAATATGAACGTCCTCTTCTCCTGACATAAATAAATATGCCTGCTCCATAAAGGTTAGTAACTACAGTCAGATGAGTTATACAGGTGGAGAAAGCTTTTTGTCTCCCAGAGGGAGATGAGAACCTCCGTATGGTGAAAATGATGAAGAAGTAGGACATGACAGTCAAAAAGGAAGTGCAAAAATGAATGACTGAAGCAGCGATGAAAACAATCTCCATTCAGTATGGTGGGTGTCTGTGCAAGTCAACTTCAGTAGTGGCTCAACATTACAGTAGAAGTAATTGATGACATTGGGGCCACAGAATGGCAGTCTAAACACCAAAATGGTTTGCATGAAAACAGTCAGAAAACCACCAGCCCAAGAGTGAAATGAAAGCTGAGCACACACTCTTCCACTCATAATAGTGGTGTCATGGAGAGAGTTGCATATGGCTGTGTATCTGCCAAAGGACACGACTGTGAGGAGGAAAAACTCAGTAGCACCAAGGAAAAAAATGGGAGAAGGCTTGAACTTTGCAGCCAGCTATGATGATGTACTTTGTGACATCCAGAAGACTGGCCAAGAGCTTGGGGACTGCAGCTGAGATATTTTTTCCTATCCCAACCCCCCAATGAATCACAGAATCACAGAATCGTTTAGGTTGGAAGGGACCTCTGGAGATCATCTAGTCCAACCTCCCTGTTCAAGCAGGGGCACCTAGAGCATATTGCCCAGGATCACATCCAGACGGCTTTTGAATATCTCCAGCGAAGGAGACTCCACCACCTCTCTGGGCAACCTGTTCCAATGCTCTGTCACCCTCACAGTGAAGAAGTTTTTTCTCAGGTTCAGATGGAACTTCCTGTGTTTCAGTTTCTGCCCATTGCCTCTTGTCCTGTTGCTGGGCACCACGGAGAAGAGGCTGGCCTCATCCTCTTGACACTCCCCCTTCAGATACTTGTACACGTTGATGAGATCCCCTCTCAATCTTCTCTTCTCCAGGCTGAACAGGCCCAGCTCTTGCAATCTTTCTTCATAGGAGAGATGCTCCAGCCCTCTAATCATCTTGGTAGCCCTCCGCTGGACTCTCTCCAGGAGTGCCATGTCTCTCTTGTACTGGGGAGCCCAGAACTGGACACAATGATGTCAAGCAGCCCCTTCTTTTCTGCATACAGAAAGAGTGCCCCTCCTCTGACCACAGTTAGCACACAGCAGAGAGATAGGTCTTGAAAAAACAAGAAATTCAGATTGTATCTGAGAGACAGAAGAATCCCCCAAAAGAGAGATTTTCAAGAAAGAAATAGCAAGGAAGAAATTCCAAGGAAGAAATGAGTTTGTGGAGAGTAGTGTCATTTACCACTGTGGCAATGATGATTACATCGGCAGTGATAGTCAAAATGTAGATGACGAAAACTCCCACAAAGAGCAAAACATAAACCCTTTGAAAGCTGGGAAAACCAAGAAGAATAAATTCAGTCATAAAAGTGTGGTCTTCCATCCTCTGCTTCCACTTGGTATATTTCTGCATGGATAAATACAGCAATACAAATAAAGGAGTGATCAAATGTTTTTATGTGAGTAGGAAAAGGGGAAATGTATGTATGTGTGCATGCATATATAGATATATATATATATGAGAAATTTCACTGTTTGATTTTAACATTTATTTTAAAGAACCCAGAAGGTTTGAAATCCTTATTATAGTTTTCCTGTTTCTTTTCTTGGCTTTGTTTTCAACACTGAAAATTTATGTCTCTTTTATGCTATAAGACTATATGCATGATTAAAGAATTTATAAGTGACAATGATATATAATGGTAATGTTCTCCCTACCAGTTACATTTCTTGGGGTGGGAGTCATTAGCTTAATTTATGTCTCTAAGAGATGGATGTCTAGTCAGTTTAGGCTCCTATTTTCAAGCCAAGATGGGTACTTTCAAAAGGTGATTAACTTCATCTGGGCACAGGCAAGATGAATTAGCCCTTACCATGGGTATTTCTTCCTCCATTGTCCATAGAGGGGAACAGAAGATGGAATAACTAGATAGGAATAGATATCAAAAAATTGAGATGGTTAAACATAGATCAAACAAATCCCATTTTTTGTATCTAAAAAGCCACTGTAAGTCTGTCCCAGCCTTAGCTTGATGCAATAATTTATTCTCTTTTCAAATGATTCTTTCATGCTAAAGAAAAAAAAAAGAGAGAAAATAAATTTGCCCATTACTTTATGAAACTTTACATCACTTGTGTTTTGTTATCTTAATCTTTTTCTCCTCCAAAGGTTGTTTTCAAACAGCTCTAAATGAAAGAAAGAGGGATCTTTACATCTGAAATTAAAATTAAAATGCTAACCCATTTAGTTTTACCACAAACAGCAGAAAGTCCAAATGTTGGAGCTGTCCTTTATATATATGTATGCATATATATGCTTAAAGCATAATAGTCACATGTCTTTCTCTCTTTAGGGTCTAGATTACTTTCAGAAGCCACCAGTGGCTCTCTGAATAATGACAAAAGAAGGAATATGTTCACTTTGTGAACAAACCATCAGTGTTAAAATCTGGGTCCCAAACAACATTTTGAGAAGGGAAAACCCCCAAAAAACCCCAAATCCTCAGATAGACCTGACAAATCAGCTGTTAAAGAGTAGGACAGTGCTATCTTTGTAATCTTAGTAATTTTGCTATCTCTACCAAAAAAAAAAGGAGAGACTTTAAAAATTATAGTTTCTTTAATCCATTCAAGGAATATTGATGTAATTTATCTTGACTTTAGTAAAGCTTTCAACATTGCCTCCCAAAACATTCTTATAAGCAGGACAGGAAGTTATGGTCTTGGTGCATGGATAATTAGGCTGGCAAAAAGTGTGGCTGGATGGTGGGTAGTAATTAATGAGTTTTACTCTACCTGGAGGCTGATAACAAGTGGAGTGCTTCAGGGATCAACACTAGGACCTGCCCTGTTTAACATCTTTATCAGTGACCTGGAGGAGGTGACAGAGTACTTTCCCACATTTTTTTGCAGATGACACAAAACTGGAAAGACTAGTCAATACAATTGGTGACAGGGCTGCCATTCAGAAGGAGTTAGGCAGCAGAAATGGGTGGTCAGGAACTGCAAGAAGGTTAACATGGACAAATGCACTTGCACCTGGAAAGGAATAACCCTTTGCAAAAATACAGACTGAGGACTGACTGTTTTGGGAGCAGCTCTGCAGAAAAGGCCCTGAAGACCTGGTGGGCAGCAAGCTGAGTATGAACAAGCAGTGTACCCTAGCAGCAAAGAAAGCCATGAGCATCCTGGGCTTTGTTAACAGGAGCGTATCCAATAGATCAAGGGAAGTGATCATCTCCCTCTAACTAGCAGTCATTAGACCACATCTAGAGTACTGCAACCAGTTTTGGGCCCTCATTTTACGAAAGAAATCAACAAACTTGATCGAGTTCAGCGGAGCGTTATCAAGATGGTCAGAGGGCTTGAGCACATGCCCTGTGAGGAAATACTGACGGAACTGAGATTGTTCAGCCTGAGAAAGACAAGCCTAATAACAGCTTTACTCATGGGCATGTCATCAAGAAGATGCAGTCAGGCTCTTTACAATGGTGCATGGTGAGAAGATGAGAGATAATGAGCATAAGTTGAACCAGGAGAGGTTCTGACTGTTAAAAGGATTTTTTTTTTCCTCCCTGTGGATAGTGAAGCATTGGAACAGGTTTCCCAGAAAGGTTTTGCAAATCTCCATCCTTTGAGAGTTTTAAGACCCAACTGGATAAAGCCCTGAGCAACGTGGTCTGACCACATAGCTGACTGTTCTTTGAGCAGGCTGTTGGACTAGATGACCTCCTGAGGTCCCTTCCAACACAAATTATCCTATAATCCTGTAGAAGTTTTATGTGTAATTAGCCTCAGATAGTTTATAAATGGCTGGTAGGATAAAACCCTGATATTTAGAGAGGGAGATTTAAATTATACTTCTAATGGTGCAAACTCAGAGGACCTCTGTTGATTTCAGAAGGTAAACATGAGCATTTTTAACTGCTGTAACTTCTTACAGATCTGAGAAAACTCCGCAAATGAGTCTGAAGGAGCAAATGCCATCAGACTCTTACAGTTATGCAGAAAGTGCTCATTAAGGTGTAATCATAGCAAAAACGATTATAAAAACAGATTTCTTTTGGGGAAGAACTTCCAAACCATCAATTTCCTTATGGCAGCTTTGATCTCTTTGTTTCTAATGCTGTAAATGATTGGATTCATCACAGGAGGCAGCACAGAATAGAGAACATCCACGATGAGATCTAGAACTGATAGGGGGTGGGAGATAGGTATGACATAGGCAATGATCCCGGTAGAAATGAACAAGGAAATCATAGTGAGATGAGGAAGGCATGTGGCATAGGCCTTATGCCGGCCATACTTTGAGGGAATCTTAAACACTACAGTGAAAATGTTAATGTAAGACACAACTACAAAAAGGAAGGCAATGAAGTACAGACATGCACTTAAGACCAGTATAACAAGTTCACTGATATCTGCCTCAGAGCAGGAGAGTTTTAGGAGCTGTGGTATGTCACAGAAGAATTTATCAATAACATTTGAGGAACAGAAAGGTAACCAGAATGTGTTACCAGTGTGCATTGCAGAGTACAGAAAAGCACAGATCCAGGCAGCAGCAGTCATCTGAGCACAAACTCTCAAGTCCATGATTGTTTTGTAGTAGAGTGGCTTGCAGATGGCAACATAGCAGTCATATGCCATGATAGTGAGGAAGATGAAGTTGTTTGTAGCAAAGAAAAAGAAAAGAAAGACTTGGGCAACACATCCAGAATAAGAAATTGACCTGGTGTTGAGTAGGGAATTCCCTATGGATTTGGGGACAGTCACAGAGATGGAGCTGAGGTCCAGGATGGAAAGATTCATCAGGAAGAAGTACATAGGAGTGTGAAGACAGTGGTCACAGGCTACAGCCATGATAACAAGAAGATTGCCCATCAGGGCAAACATGTAGGCAATTAGGAAGATGATAACATGTAAGATCTGCAGCTCCCTCAAGTCAGAGAATCCCAGCAAGAGGAACTCAGTCACAGTAGTTTGGTTGAACATTTTCCTTTTCTGCTCAAACCTTAAATTTGAAAAACAAAGCAGTCACAGAAAGCTGGTTTGATGTTCTGGATTGCCATATCCTTAACATTAAATGATCTCAGTTTCAAAAACTGCATAGTGGATTCTGTCCATTTTTCATTTTTCTTTTTATCTGAACAATCCTAGCAAGAGCCTAGCAGGATATTTAGACTTTTGTCAGAAGCTCAGCTGTTCTAAATGTTTGCAACTGGCATGAATGCACGGTACCCATGAGGACATTTCTCAAAAGCTACACTACTAGTGTAACGTATGATGACAACTTGTGCTTTCCTACCCAGAATTTCTCCAGAATTCTTTGAACTCCATGTACATACATAGATACATCTTATGTATAAAACTTGTGTACAGAGAAATTCATCTTACTTAAGTACTGAGGGATTTCATCCAGACATTGTACATGTCCCCATATGAGCTAACTGGCTTAACAACTTTCTTAGTCAATAGAGAGAAACAAAACACATATTTCTATGGTTTGATACATCTCAGCCTGTGGCCACTATCTAAAAAAGGGCATCTGAACTCTACTGCAGATGTATATTTTTCTCTTCTATGGTAATCAAAGGTGATAGTTGGTCCTACCTCCGAAGTGCACATTTATAATGGAGAAGTCTTTAGTAAGCTGTTCCCAAAGGGAGGTTTTTCAAGAAGATGGAGCCAGGCCCCCATTGCTCTACCTAAATTTCTAAGTTACTGCAGTTCTCTGTTCTGCTTTCATCTCAGAGTCTGTAGTGTAATAATCAAGAGTGGACAAGGAATTCCTACAGACTCAGCTGTTGAAAGCTTAATCCATAGTTCCACTTCAGTCTGTCTGTTATTGAATTTCAATAAGCAAGAGCGAAATATATGCCAGAAGTTCCTTCAAAACACTGCCTGTGACCTGTCATACCTTGCCTCAATTCCTTCCAGACAAGAAGAAAGGAGTTTAGGGAAGAAGGAAAAATCAGTCACAATCTGCAATTTCTTTCAAACAACTCCCTCTAACTGAATCTTGTGCATTGCTTCTGCATTCTGTACTCTTTAAGTGGTTGAGGTTGTCCTCCCTCCTATACCCAGCCATGGACGATCAGATTTATCCCACCTAACCTTGGGCACCCGCATTGTAGAGTCTGAGAGTTTCACTTCAAACTCACCTTGCACCTGGTGGTGGTTGTGGGGGGAACATCTGCTGTATTTTTTCTCAGACTTGTTCCTTAAGATGAAGTGAATCCCTTCCAGAAAGGTTTGTTTTATTTTATTGCCTGTCTTTTGGCTAGAAGAATTGTACCAGGCAGACAAGAGTTGGCATCTTTGCTGGCATGATTGTCTCCCTGGCTTTGGCTGTAGAGCTGAAATAACTTAGTAAACAGTGACATTTACAGCTTCCTGGGAAATCAGAGGTCTTATCTCTCACCTGTCTTGAGATCTTCTTTCTTGGCTACAGAGATTCCAGTAGTTTTTGTTGGCAAACACATCCACAGATATGAACTCTCATGAGTTATCTCCTAGAAACCAGCAAACAACTGACGTGTCTCCTTTGCTTGCTTGTGTAAGCAGGAGGTAATTAAAAATAGTTTTCTAATTATTCCACAGACTGTAATTATCCATCACAGTAATAATTAATGAGAACTTCTTGCTTCTCCATCAGCAGGTGCTATTCATTGCACCCAAGATTAGGCAGTAAGTTTGGTTCCTCAGAGGGACCCATATTTTCCCCCTAAAACTGTGGTAATCCTGAAATTTTTCATCATATCACTGTTAGGCATTTGTACAGGACATTAAGGCAAAATAACAGATTTGCAGAATAGAGTGAAATTGAACCGGACTGGCTGGTGAGGACAAGAATTCACTTTTTAGCTCATAACACACATACCAATGAGGAATGAGGAATGTATCCACAAAGTGCTCCAGAAAGCAATGACATGTAGAACTATTCTTTGCAACTGATTTCCTACTTAACACAGTAGCCTAAAAGAGTACTTAAACTCTTTAATTCAGAAACCTCAGAGTAAGTTGCAAACCTTGTGAAGCCGGAGTGGATTTCACCTCCCTTGTCTTTAGCACTGTGATCTGCTTCTACACAGATAAAAACATCAGTTCCAGAGAGCAGTCTCTTGCTGGCCTTTGGGTACTGAGTGGATTGCGTCTACAGTCTCTATGTTTCTCTGCAATAGTCTCGCAAGGTAGATGCCATTTGCTGAAACACAGGCATCTGGAACCAATTGAGATGGCCATGGAGAGCTGCAGGGAGCTGGCAGATACATCACAGGCTTAAAGTAGACTTGTATCCATATGGAGCAGCAACTGGAGGCCAGGCAGGAAGCTCCAAGTATCTAAAATGCCATTAGAGGCTGCATAATTCAATGTACCTGGTCCACCCGCTGCACAGTAGTAGCCTGAGTCTCCCCTAGGCCCTAAGACAGATAATTGAGAAACAGTTGTGTGAGTTTTCTCCCTTCCTTCTCCTCTTTCCCACTCTCTTCCTTCCTTCCTTTCCTCTCTTCCATTCCTTCCTTTCTTTCCTTCCTTTCCTTCCTTTTCAAAAAGACTGAAATAAAGGGAGTGCTGTGTTGCAGTCTACCAGACTGATGGTTTTATAATGTAAAACTAAGCCAGGGTTTTCCATTACATGGGCTAGAGTATAAGTGCATATAGAAACACTTCTAGTATGGTGCTGGAAGATTGCTTTTGTTGGGAGGTGGCAAATTCAGTGAGGTCATGGTGATACTGTTTTACAATGGGAACCAAAAGTGCAATGTCCTGTCTGGTGTGCCCTGGTATCCTCATGGAAGGAACCAGTAGGTTTGCTCCAGAAGAGAGCCTAGGAGTGAACTCAAGTTCAGTTCCAGCAAAGATTGGGAGTGACCTGGGAAGTGAAATTATTTGACTATGTATACTCCTTCTCTGAGTCAGAGGTGGTCTACTAGGCTTCCTTAATAGTCACTGGCGAAGAATACATATATATAGGACACCATCCATCTCCCCAAAATGTCTGAAAAAGGTCAGATCAATTGTAATGTGGGAGATCTTCATGCTTTTATCAGGGAAAATCATCTCATGGCCTCTTAAGACCCGGTACACTATCTGCATTTGAGGTGTTTGTTTATTCAGATGAATCCTACTGTGGTGGTGTGTAGCATGAGTTAGGTCTAGTTAGCATTGCTGCTGGAATAAGCCTGTGAACTTTAATCATTTTTTTATTGTGGTAGAAGTAGATGAAAAAGGATCAGTGACCTGTCCGAAACAACAGAATGAAACTTGGATATTTTTGGGGTGCTCAAGGAAATAGATAGTCAAACTATATGAACAACATGTTGACCATCAAGAAGTGCAAACTTGTTCAGAAGTATCCAAAACAAGCAGATTGTGAGTGCCAACAATACTGACAGCAAATCATAAAATTATAGTGCAATTTGAACAGATTAATAACCAGTGAAGTATTCTCTACCCAATCCTATAATTAGAGACACTTAAGAATATTGGGGGGAACCCAGAATTCCAGAGAGACTCTGGAGGGAAACCTTACAACCCTGCATCAGGATTTAGGGCCATCTTTCCAACAGGCAGAGAACCTGAGAAAACCCAGGGGACCTCAAAAACCTGTACCAGGACTACACATAGCATAGCTGGAACCACTACACAAACCCACCTGACTTCTCTCTGATGCTGCATCTTCTCTTCTTTGGGACAGGGAAGTCATGTAAAGAATCACTATACTAATCCACCTGACTTCTCTCCTGGACTGTGCCATCTGTCCCAAGGATCAGGGAAATGGTGTAATGCATAAAGTTTCATATAAATATGATTAAAGTGTTTTGGTATGCAATTTAATCTCCACACTGTCATTTGGTCTTAAAGTGTGACATGATGTCCCATAATTATTCTACATTTGAAATGGTTGAATGGAAGTAGGTTTCTCCTACTGAGATACTGAAATTCTTTTACCTATTGTACTGGCTTATCCTGATTCCTTTGAAGAGTGTAGCTGAATTTCAGGGACCTGCAAACAATCACTTTCATTAGGAAAAAAGTCCTTTGCAAGACAAGACTGTTTTGGTAGTATAATAAAAACTCACACTACAATTATATTTTAATAATTTATTTTTAATATGGTAAAGGTACTATTGAGACTATAAATTCAACAAAAGGGAATGTCCTGAAGTCTCAGGAACACAATAATGCATTTTTCATTTGACACTGTTCTAAGTTGCCTTCAACGGGAAGCCTTTTCTATTTCATTAACTATTGAAAGTTATTGAAAGAATGACAGATCATCTTCTGCAAAATTCCCATTTCTTTTCTGTGAATGCAAAGGTGACTAGCTCAGCCAACTAATGTTCCTGAAGCTGACACCCAGAACCTCAACTTCAGGACCTGAGTTGTAGACATCTGACTCTTTGCTGGAACTCAGTGGCCATATAGTGTAGAACTGAGCTCTACACTCACCTTAAACCCACCTGCATTGCCTGGGTACAATCACCGGGCGTGCTTCCTACCTGTCCTCCCTTCTGCCTCCAGCAGGAAATATGGACGATACTTCTTAAGACATATCAGCTAGCCTAATCAAAGGGGCATTGCATTGAGCCACAAAAGCTTGATGGTATTCCTAACCTAATTTTCCTGTTTTCTGACTGCACAATTTTACTGTAAGGCTGTTACCCGGAAGGAAAACCCCATTTCCAACTATACCCCACTGCTATTGTCAGAAAAATTCTCTAGATGCCAATAGGACAAAGATTTTAGGAAAGAGAGGGGACATCAGCCACCTTTAATGGAAGATGTCTCAGTTTAAAGTCTGAACTCTCTAGGCCATTGATCAAGGGAGTAAGATGCTAATTGCTTTTCTGCCCTTCTGAGGTATCTCATTCTCTCCATTCACTCCTAGGGAGACTCAAGCCTACATTTTAGTGATAAAGATCCAATCTGTGAGTCAAGATCCCAAGGATCATTCCAACAAAGACATTGCACTGTCTTAGGTAACATTCAACACTGAGCATCACTAAATGCAC